GTTATTAATTTCTTTAGATACGTGATTCCATATTATATTCCCTATTATTCAAATTCTAAAAGTATGCTTTTGTTTTATCCGATAACGAGCGTATTCGCAGAAAAGGATAAAATGATCAATTTTCACAAAGTATATACAGTAATATGGTCAGAAGGAGCACATAAAAACATTTCCAAAATAACCACGTGTAAGACTTTGATGCTTAAAATGTTTAGGGAGAAATGGAGTATTTTTTAATGTGTATTTTTTCTTTAAACTACCAAGACCAGCCATATACAGTATAGTTTACATAATATGTTTATGTTCCTAAATTAATATTGTTTATGAGCATGTGAAAGGCATGGTGAATCGGAGGTACATGAGAGGTTAAGCTTTATCATCATCACCTGGCGTATTTACAAGGTCATTCCAGCTACTATTAACATAATCTAATTTGCATATGGTAAGACGCGATTTGATGCGACACGCCCACCGCGTTGTACAGCAGCGTACCCCGCTTGTTTTGAATGGCTGCATCTGTATATAAATCAGTTTAAATTTTTTATGCATGAAAAATGGGTGGTTAGAGTCTTTGTGTAACCTGGAAGATTTTTTTACTTAATTAAACATTTGAAACACTTTAATTTTGTAAATGCAACACACATTCCGTACAGAAATAAAATAATATTTTCTACAGCTGTTAAGCAGATTAGCAGGTTGCTGACAAATTAGCACACCGCCCACTAACCATCCTCCACTGCCCAGTGATATCACTTAAATATAAACAAGGTCTAGTATCTGGTGCAGTTTTTTTTTAAACTTGAACTTGAATTAATCGAATCCCAGGTGTGAGTTCATAAAGCCAGAATTACGTACTATCTCTGCATCTGCCAACACCTGACCATCTACTGTAAAGCGTTCAGTGGTTTGCTTGTGTATATTCCAATCGTAGCGGGGACAGGGTGTGTGGGGAAAGGTTTAGGCTGCAATTGAATTGATCTGTATTCTTCACACCTGAAACTCTTTAGCTGATCTTTTGCTGCCTACGCATGCTTACACAGCTCCCTACGTGAATTCTCATTCTTGACTGAGAAAGCTTTAGAGAACTTTACATTTTTATTTTCGACAAACTGTAAATATGACGTTTACATTGGCGTTATTATTAATTTTTCACTTAAGCGTATGGAGGAGTGTCAGCTGTCAAGGAGAGCTCCCCCCACGGACAGACTGATAAAGCAATTTTGAAGTGTTAATCCAGCCATTGTAAGATACTGCAGCAGCCACAAGTAAATAAAAAATAAAGTTTTTTTTTCTCCTGATGGTAACTGTAACAAATTGTCACGTTTCACATCCTTTGCGAAACAATTATGACGTTCTCATCCAATCAAAGCTTTGATGTTTTTTTATTTTGAAACTATGATCTTGACATGCAGGTGTGAAATAGAGTTAACAGCTTCAGATTTAAAAGGTTATTAATAATATTTTCCATGTTGCATTAACATTGGAATGTTATTACAAGTGTAAAAAGAGGCGATACACAACACATCTCCTCTATAACTCTTCAGTTTACAGAGAAATTCCACCAGAGCCACATACCATTGTCCAATAATACTCTTCTTGTGTCTAATTTCTAGTTTAGCAGGATTTGTGCGATAAGCACATTGTTTAATGGGGATGATATTACCAACGCCTATATCACTGTACAACACGGAGTGTCTGTTAATAAAACAGAGTGCCTTCCAATACATACAACTATTGCATGATTTCTTTATCCATTTCAGCTAAATGAGGGGAATTAAATCAGTCAGAATTGGAGTGCCAATTGTAAAAATAACTCCTCTTCCCTCCTTGGTTTAACTTAAAGAATTTTGCAAAGAAATCCTAAATCACGAAACTTACTTAATTTATCCAGATACACAAATTCACGCCAAAGCCAACAACAAGATATAATAGTAGACTATTTTATATATTCTGATATGCTAGAAACAAAGTAATTCTCTGATCGGGGTTTGAACCACCTGGGTGCAGCGTACTACATGACAGTCTATTGCCTATTACCACTATAAGCACGATAATAAATAGATTTTATTAAAAAATGAATGTCAAATGTCCCCTTGTGATATTTTAGCTACTTAATTACACAACTCCAAATTAATATTACTATCAAGAGGAATTAAATCAGTACAACTTTTATGAAATTCAAATATTTTAAACGTTTAATTAAAAAGTGGTTTTTAACTATCTAAACCATTTTTTACAGCTTCTAAAGTCACGCAATGTTTGAGTTAGACAGGAACACGTCATTGTATCATTGTCATTGTTTTTTAATTTTTTAAAATAAAAAAATTGTTTGCCAATCATGTTAAAAGGCTGTTCTCCGATTACTGCAATTGTAAAAAAAATAACCATTCCTCCCTCCCTCATTTAACTTAAAGATTTCCATTAAGAAATGGTTAAACACAAAACCATCACGTATAATAATTCATCCAGATACACACGCCGGAACCAATTTTGCCAGACACAACCTCCCAGAGCAAATCAGGTGCCCAGGCTGAGGGCTCCTTTAGCCTAGCCAGCAGGTTCCCTGTTGAATGATGCAGATGGACTGGGTTCAATTCCAGGCGGTGTACTACATAGTACAGTTAATTTTTAAAAAAAATTCCAAGTTAAATTGTTGGCTGATTACTGTCTGCTGACATCTGGATTAAGACAAAATATAGATTTTCTCAATTCAGGTGTAAACCTGAAAGAGACACATCATGTTCACAATGAGCTCTAATAGTGGACTATTTTTATGCATTTGGCTCTATGAGAAACAAACCGAAAGTAAATCTCTGATCTCGCTTTGAACAGCATGGTTGCAGCTCGCTACATTACAGTGCTCATTACCACTACAAGGACAATAGTAGCTTTTTTTTAAAGAAACGAATGTCAAAATGTTTCCAAAACATCCACTTGTTATACTTTAGCTGCTTAGTTACCAGAACCCATGTAAGTTACCAAGTTAAAGACTTTGATGCATAACATTTTTAAGCATAATTAATATACAGATGCAGCCATTCAAAATGGGTGAGGTATTTCGCGGCATACCGCGACACGCCCACCGGGGTATCACGCAGTTCACGTGTGTCACGTGACTAACTATCCGGCGTCGCCTTGTAAAACCGCCAGGGGGAGCTTAACCTCTCATGTACAGCATT